AGACACGTCCTGAGGCAGGGAGATTTTGTACGTCTCTGATCTTTTGCCCTTGACCCCGAAAAGTGGCAGATCTTCTCAGATCTGGGTTTCTGTTGTCTGTATGGTACGCAGCAATTTCTTTCAATCCCTAAAAAAAAAATCACAATTAATCTTAATTCTCACCTTGAAGCTCAGATACTGTTGTTATTAAAAAGTGAGAGATGTGTACATACCTTTCCTTGAGAGTGTGTGGTTTGAACCTGGTGTCATTTCAGCAAACATTAAAATGCGTCTCTCAACTTCTGAACAGTCTTTACCCTTCAGCCGAAGGTGTTTTGAGGGAGTGTGACCCTACACGGGAGATATAGACAGATGACATTTACTATTACACACTTTTTTCCGCCGGCTTGGAAAGCAGTGCAACGGCTCAGCATAGTTCATACAGCTCATTTGCATAGCAGAGACGTCTAAGGGCTGCTGAACAAAGAAGGAGCTTCCTGAAGAGAAACGGAAAGTAAGCTTTACAGAAACTGTGGTTTGTGTGCACGAGTGCGTCGGCTTGCAGGAGATGTTTTGCCCACAGACTGTCTGATTACTGTAGTAATGGGAGACGAGTTGCGTCAGCAGTTGATGTTCTGTGCTTTTTGAGCAGTGAGTTCGGATCACAGCTGACACGGCAGGAGCAAACGTGTGAAGGGATGGAAATGTTTGGGAAGATTTGCAGAGATTTGAGAGGGCATAAACAAAAGTCTAATAAAATGAGATATTTCCCGGCCTTGTTTTCGGGGTTGTCATAAATAATGGCTTTCTCATTCCCCCCATGGCTCAAACAGTCGTCATGAATCATCTCTGTGTTGGTTTCTGAGCAGTAGGAAGTCCCTATGGGGGAGAGACAATAACCAAAAACAGTCTGTGTCATACTGAGCGGGATGAGATCTTAGCATTCCCCGATGATAACATTGCTCCAGTTACTTTGATCTCAGGTGAAAAACTGCTACCTTTCCCTACACAAAGCTGATTGAACCTGTCTCTGAAAGTGTAATCACCGTGGCTCTTTTCCTCCAGTTTTCATATAATAGAAATTACAGGCCTGTCACTCATCGACCAGCCACTGGTTAGCCAATAATTGTACTGTTATGTTCCATGTATGACTAAGTATTGCTACAGTACCACCTAGAATTTCAACATCATCTCAACAGTGCTGCCTATCTGTTTTAAACGTCTTTGTGAGTCATAATGTGCTCCTCTGGGGGCGTTGAATGGTTTGGGGTCAAGTGTTAGCACTGTTTCCGTGTTCGTAAAGATTCAATAGACTATTACGTGCATAGCATCATATTGAAACCTCTTAACAGTGTGTATTATTATTTTATTAATCTATTTTTATCTACAGCAGCTGTGAGGTCAAAGGATTCGTAAAAAGAAAGCAGAGTTATCAGACAGCTATCAGACAAAAGGCTCTTTTTTTCAGTCCGGGGGATGTGGGTCTGTGAAAGGTCGCAAATCAGTTGACATCTGTAAAATGTCATTTCAACAAAAATTACATCACACCACCTTTAACATATGGAGGAAACAAGCATCCTCATGTACAACCTGACTCTCCCAGAGGTGAGCCAAAGTTCATTTGGACCAACATAAGCACAGGCATTTCAGAGGTTTTACTGAATAGTTCCAACAGGAAAGTAACAGGTATGTATCCAAGCATAAGAGCTGTCATGTACTGTGTACTGTCTGCATGCATCATGTCATAGCATGTCCACATCTACAAGCATTAATTAACCGTGTTGGACAGTTTGTTCATTTCTGCAGCTCCAGCATGAACTCTGAGCTCAGCAGGAAATATTCCAGCAGGCTGCACTCTGTACTGCTGCAGGCCTCAGGCTTACTGTGTGAGTCACTCTGTAAATAACACATAGTTAAGTGCATGTCAACATCACAGATTATAAAGGTGATAAAACAGCTGCAGACTAGATTGATTTATTAGTAAATATAAAGCAGCTCCTGCAAAGAGCAGAAAGAGTAGGAACTTGTTTTATTTTCTGAGGAACTGTATATCCTGTAAGGCCTGGGCAGGTTACCCAGGAGGAAATAGGTATATGGTAAATGGACTTGCACTTGTATAGGGCCTATAGTCTTTCATCCACTCAAAGAGCTTTTACACTACAGGCATTCATCACTACTGCTACTCAGGTAGAACAATCACACACATTCACCTAGCAATTTGGGGTTCAACAGCTTGCCCACACTTTGACATGTGGACTAGAAGAGCTGGGGATCAAACTGCTGATCTTCCAATTAATGGACAACCAGAAAATGAGCTGTACCTGCACATACCCTCCACTACATCACTGCTTACATGTAGGATGCAATAAGGTAAATATACAGAGTGGTATTCCTTGTCAACAGACGCCCAACAGCAACATTTTGTCCTGGGCCCCTAGCCTTATTCACCTGACAATTTGGGGTATTTATATTTTATTTTTTCTTGTTTAATCTCCAATTTGGGGGATTTTTATTGTTTTATTGGAGTAAGATGGGGAAAGATGCCCCCGTTAAGAAAAAAACAAACATTTGGATCTGATTTTAGCATGTGCAGGATGATGATGCATGAACCAACACAATGAAATAAATCGGCAGAGCAGCCATTTTTGTTGTTATAGAACAAAAATGAAAATCATGTGTTGCTGAGCAAGAGGCCCCTGAGTTCAAGACAAAATATTTAACTATCTAAAACAGACTAAAATCCCAACCCTGACCCATATATGGATTATCTAGAAGCCTTGTAGCCTTTCCTTTAGGGCTAAATGTTTTTATTTCAGGATGTTTTCCTCCACCAAGCTTGATAAAAATGTTGGCTAATTCTAGAAAGCTAGTAATGCTAAGATAACTAGCTAGCTGTCTAATAATGCCAGCTTGCCGTTGAAACAACACTATAGGCCTATTACTACTATGTGAATAAGAACTATATAAAGTCACATATAATCATATACTAATCTAACTAAATCATATGAATGTTTTCACCCCCCTTCGATTGGGGACCTTTTTTTTCTTTTAAAATTTTTAGTGTACATCTTAATATAAATACATACATCACTATTTTCCAGTGACAAAAAAAAAGATCAGCTTTCCCCAAAACAGTTACAGTGCAATAAATTCCAAGAATGCAGCAGTTCAGATGAAATGTCAAAATTCATTGTAGCATTGACGTTCAACACGTGTGTTGAGGTTAGACTTAGCATCATATCTTGGTTAGGAGGTGGGGGCATCTTACCCCATCTCAGTGGTGTAAGGAAGTTACAACACGCTGTCATGCATGTACTGTCTTGACAAATCATCATTGCATATATGACAAAAATATCAAAGAAAATAAGAAATGCATAATTTAATTGAATCGCTTTTATGATATGTTTATAGATGTTATAGCTCATGTAAAAAAGCACGTCATTTTGTTTTAGATAGCTACTGACTATTTAAAAAAAGAAAAAGAAGAAAATGATGCAGATGGGTTTGCCTTTTTGAGAACTTATAGAACAAATGTTTTTAAATTAATAATACTCTTTTTTAATCATTTATCTTTGAACACAGGTATATTTCCAAAATGGCAATCTGAATCACCAGCTCTCTCTGTAACTGGGTCAATTATACAGCAGTATTATGTGTAACAAAGTCAAATGTACGTTTGTAATATTAAGTATAATAATTACACAAAATTTGTTTCAGTTGTTATTACCTGACATGCTTAGGCCTCCATAGTTACTATGTGGAACATTTGATACTCAGATACCTCTACACCCAAAGCTTTTTATACTAGGTTTGTATCCATCCAATCATAACATTAGAAGGAGAAAACAGTTCATTTTAGAGATGGGCCTGCTGCTGGCTAGAAGAGTAATTGGTCTTTAATGGAAGGAAGTCGGTAGGCCAAGTATGGGTCGATGGATTTCTGAACTATCAGCAACTTTGCCCTTAGAAAAAAATGACATACGCTATCAGAGGTAATCAATCTCTCTTTCACAACATCTGGGGTCCCTTCATGTGTCATCTAGAGAGGACAGACTTAACCCACATGCCCACATGTTGGAAGTACATGGGGATCTACTATATGCGACCCTCTACAATGTCCAAATCTGTCAAAGTTTCTCAAATTTGTACATCAATATAACGTGTACTTAAACTGAACTGTATTGCATCGCACTTACATGATCCTCAACCTGTAATTTGTGGTTGTCCTTCCCCTCTTATTTTCATTTTTTTTTAAATTAACTTATTTTCTTCTTCCATTCATTTATATATTTTTTATTCCATTTTGTTTTATTTTATTTTACTTCATTTCCTCCCATTTCATCATTTATTTACTTTTAATTCACACTTTTGGGGTGGGGGTGGGGTGGATTATATGTGCGTGAAATATTCAGCAGTTGTACTGAAATTTTGTCCTGGTGTCTTTTTCTTTTGCGTTTCTGTGGATGTGTATGGACACATACTGGATGTATGTATGTGTATGTCTTTGTTTGTTTTTAAAATCAATAAAGGTACTGTTGGGTAAAAAAAAACATATTCCTATGTCATTTAATTTGTGTAGGGGCTCGAATTTGTATGGTTGTGTTTGACGGAGGATTTTGTTTTTACCTCTTGCTACCATCTGTCTGAAATAACCAGAGATCGCCTCCAAAGGTAGCCATGGTATCAACACAATGCAGACAAAACTAGAGTCCACCGGTGACATCTCTGAAGGCCCCTCCAACTCAGGGGCCCCAGTGCAATCACACTGCCTGCACGTCTATATTTACGCCCCTGCTCCATCAACCCAATTATGGTGAGAACTTTTCCTCTCTTTCACTTGTATCAGGTATCATTTCCATATTTGTACCGTCTGCAGCAGCTTCAGTATCTCAGGTTGCACATCTGGTCAAACACCACCACCCAGCGGCTCCTCTGCTTCACGCGCGCTGCACACCACGTCACCGCTGACATAAACTACATCTCCCATGCTCCTCTCTCCAAGAGGCAGGCAGTCATGCGGATGGAAACAGGAGTGGGCATCCGCTGTGCTGCGCGAAGAAGAAACTTCGAGGAAAGATGCACGAAGAGGAGGATGGCAGCGAGGCAAACTCCTGCACAGCTTCGCGGATCGTGGCCTCCAGGTCCGTGGATGTGGCCGAGGTCGAGGGCGCCAAGGAGCAGGCCTCCAAGCTGTGCGGCTTCTTGAACAAACTGTCCGGCAAGGGGCCTTTGAGGGGGTACAAGCCGAGGTGGTTCGTGTACGATCCGAGGAAATGTTATTTGTATTATTTCAAGACTCCCCAAGATGCCCTGCCTCTCGGGCACATCGAGATCAGCGATGCGTGCTTCATCTACGATGTGGAGGGGGAAGAGGGGCAGTTTGAGATCCGCACCGCCGGGAAGGAGTTCCTCCTCAAGGTAGAAACTTCTCAGCATGTGTTGCTGTGCTTTGCTGTCATTTGTCACTTCCTTTCTTATTGTGGGAAAAGCCAGACACACCCATTTTAACTTGATTTATTCCCAGCTTTGATTTCACTCTTGAATGCACATATATCAGCTGACAGAGCTGCGACTTGACATATTTTAGGAAAAGCTGGTCAAATAATCGATCGCACACGTGGATCATGTTTGTCACACAAGAGCTGGATCAGCACATTATCAGCTGATGGCCCCACACACAATGTCAGCCCTCTGTTTATTCTCAGAGATAAATTTAGGTTCTGATTTCCATGCACATGAGCTCATGCGCCCTCATGACACCTCTGCTCTGCAAAGGGTCATCTCATGTGATAGTGTCTCCTCTCTCTGCTGTCACATGACTGTCACTCTCTACTGCCAAGACAGGTGCCTCTGGTCTCACTCAGCCTCGAGTCTGGAGCATTTTCAGCAGATGGTGTGAATGGTTAATACCAGACAGCTTGCAGGGCCCGAGGCTGGAACTGAGACTGAAACCAGCGTCTGCCCTCGTTCACATGACAGATAGTAACCTGCTATTTAAAGTGCTCCTGGGCTCTTTCATATGCTTTGTTTATTTCCACAGCTGTTATTATTTCCCCCTCGCCTTCCACTGAATTTGATGTTGCAGTTGCCTTTTTACCTTTTCTTTCTAAAATGTGATTCACTTGAGAGTAACGCTGTGTGTGCATGTGTGTGTGTGTTTCCAGGCCCCCAGCAGGCAGGTGATGCATTACTGGCTGCAGCAGCTACAGCAAAAACGTTGGGAATACAGCAACACAAGAGGATCCGGACAGAGAGACAGCTGGAGCTCCCCGACCCTGGCCTACCCTCCCACTGGCCTCGTAGGCAAAGACAATGGTGAGCAAGATAAAACGAGGGCTGAAACTGACAATTATTTTCATCATTGATTAATCTACAGATTGTTTTTACAATTATTAAGTGATCTTTTAAAATAAAGTCTTCAATTTGCTTCTTTTGTCCAACCAGCCTTCCAAAACCTCCTTATTTACGAGGCAAAGAAAAGCTGCAAATTCTCACATTTAAGAAGCTGGAACTAGCAAATAATTGTCATTTTTGCTTAAAAAATGACTGAAACGATTAATCAACTATCAAAATAGTTAGTTTATGTTACTGTTATTATTATCATGATTGCAGGTGGGTTGTGTTTCTTTATTTTGACAGATATATCCGACTTAAGGTCGCCCCCAGACCCTTAAAGGAGGGAGCTGGACCTATGCAGACTTGATCCCTTGAAAAATTAAAAACTGCTCAGAGAAAACCGCTGGGGGCAGTTTTTAATTTCTTATGATAGATTAATCAACTAATAATTGCAGCGCTCGTACACATGAACACATACAGCGTGTGTAGACGCTAATTTTCACGCCTCTGTTTCCTCCCATCTGTGCACCAGCTAAAAGTAAACACCTGCGTCTGATGCATTAATATTTACACAAGCGCTACAAACAGAAGTCGGAGTGATTTTGTTGCCAGGTTCCCAAGCTCGTACAGAAGGAGCATGTAGGAGTGGTTTTATCAAGCATTAATAAATTAGAACTTAACAAAGGGCAAAAGATCGACTTTATCTGGGGTGTTTCATTTGAATGCACTCAGGGAAACAGAAATCTCATTGTGTGAGCTGTGTGCTTTTGTCAAGTGTTCCCACAAGCATCCGCCACTGTTACAGGACAGAATAGATACAGCTTAACAGCATTTATAATGTAAACAAGGCAGTGTTTAACAAGTTTAATAAACTACGAGCTATGTAAAACAATTTACCAAAAGTGGTTCAGCTGCATACAAACTGCATCACAGAGTCTTGGATCTCTGGTGTCTTGGACCAACACTGAGTAAAGTTTAATTGTGTTTGATTTTGGAGCGAAGGCCAGCCAGTCGTCACCTAGGCTACCGGGGAGTGCGTTTTAAGGGGAGCAGTTGTCGTAGTGGAATCAGTAAAACCCTAAACTTTTAGGGGAATTCATAGTATTTAGTCCCAGACATCTTGGTTGCAAACCAGAGGTGATTTTACTAAAAAAATAAGGTTATTAAATGACCGCTGCAGCCAATGAGCTGTGGCATTGTGCCATAATATGTGGCAAAAACATAATGAGAATACTATGAATATGTAATTTGTAATTAATCACATAAACTACATGACTGAAAGCAGATAACCACTAAAAAAGCTACTGATTTCAGTGTGTTTAAACCTCCACCCAACTGCTGCAAATTGTGGTTAAACTAATAATTTAACTACATGTGGTGAACTACTTCCTACATTATAAGAAGAACTGTTGCATTACGTGTTACAGAGATACAAGCAGTGTGTGCGCACTAAAGTGTAGTTTTGTCATGTTCTCCTTCATGGGAAAAAAGGCTGTAAACACTTCACTGTAGTCGTCTGTATTGTGGTTGTGATACGTTAGTAAACTAGTCACATTCTAGGTGTTGACCTTGATGAAGTCTGACAGGTTTGTCACATGGTTTGACTGCAGGCAAAATAGAGTACAAAGGATTTTTATATAGAAGTTTGTTGTTGCAGTTGATCAATTTTGGCTTGTTTTAGTTATCACATGCGAGGCTGGTTTGGGCTCATTTTGTAACACAGGTTTTTAAGGAAAATTTAAATTCTACATGTAAGTAATCTGTCATTAATTTTGAATGCAGTGATTCACAGCAAATGTTTCTTTGTTTCAAAACAGTCCTGGTTATCATGAAAAGACAATGTGTTATGTGCCATATTTAAAGCTGATAAGAAACTAGTGTTTGACCTTGGACTGAAAGTGTTAGTATTATGATCTCAGACGTGATATTGTTATTGAGAATTTTGTGTTGTTGTGTTGGGAAATAGCTACGTTTTTGTTTTCCTGGGCTTCAAGGCTGCTTACAGTGAAGTGTTGAACCTGTTTTGACTGTTGTAGCTGAGTGAACAGTGAATGCCTCTTCCCTTTCCTGTCATTATACACACATCACTCCTGTTTTTCTATTCAAAAATATTACAGGTGTTTATCTGTCTTAAAAAAAAGCCACAAATAGTCATGTTATCACTGTATATCAACACATAATAAATAGAGGTATTCAGTCAAACATATCTGTTTTGTTAATGTTGCTCGGCCCCATACAAAAACTCAAATCAACAATCCTATAAAAAGTAGCTGTTCCTGAATGTAATACATAGAATACACAAGTATGTTGAAGAACACTTATAATGTGTATTTGTGCTTTTTTTCGAACACCTTGTGTTGTCTCTGCCTCGGCCGTCCTTGACCTTTTGTCAGCTCGCTGTGATGTAATGTGTGGGTGCAGGACAGACATGTGAAATCAGTAATGTCTCCTTAACTGGATTTTTCCCTCGAGCAGTGCAGAGGGCATTAAATGTTTTATGTTGCCCTGTTTTTTGCACAGCTAGTGAAAGATTAACATGCTGAAGCCTCTCTTCACAGCACAACCAAGATGCAAGAGTTCCTTATAAATGCTACTGTATAAATGTTCAGAAACAGCATGCCCAAACTAACCATGCTGCAACATGTGAAACTGATTTGCTGTATTAATAAGAGCTGGCACTGCTTTAGAGAGGAGAAAAGGGATTTGTTTTTTGTTGTCTGAAGATCTCTGTTTAAAGGTTTTATCAGAGGGAAAGGATTTCGGTCGTTGTCGTACTTAGATTGCCATATAACAATTATGTGGTCACAGTTAGTTTCCCTTTTGGGTGTGACAGCATAATTGTGCAGCTGAAGAAGAACCGTCCTAGATTTTGGTTATTGTATTAATGCAAGTGTTGTCTTCGTGTGGTTTGTAGGGTTTCATTACAGTAAAGTGATGCCATTTTCTCAACTTATCAGACTGTTGGAGCTTTTCTATGATTTGCTCCTACCCACTTATCATATCTGCATTACTGATGATTATTTATCAGAAAAGTCATTGTGTAAACATTTTGTGAAAGCATCAATAGTCAACCCCTACAATATCGATGTTGAGGTATTTAGGTAAGGTCAGGTAAAACTTTAATGTCCCCAAGGGGCAATTTGAGATACAGACAGCAGTCATGAGTGCAACAAAACAGACAGTACAACACATAACACATAGAATCCAGTATCACACGCTGTCAGGGGTAAATCATGGACAATTAGTGGTCACTGCTGGTTAAGATAAACGATGGCAGACGGAACACAGGACGATCTGTAACGCTTAGTGCTACATTTAGGGAGGCAAAACCTGCACCCTGATGGACGCATCTGAAACTCAACATGGAGGAGGGGATGTTGAGTCTGAGACAATAAACTGAGCTTTAGAGGTGACCCTCTCTTCATACACATGCTGGTAATTAAAAGTAACACCAGTGATCTTAAGCTCTACCGGAGACCTCCTCGTGTATGTCCTGTGGAATAATTTAAATTAGCCCATATATACATTCCTCTAATCTCAGTTATGTAAAAGACAAACAAGAAAACAGTTATAGATGCATTGGATTAGAACACAATATATGATCTGTATTAGATTTAAATTAGAAATATTATTCCTTGAACAATGAAGCCTCTTGTAAGATAAATTAAAAAAAAAGCTCTGTTTTTTTGTTTCATGATAATTTGATGAATCTAAAAGCTTCTCTCGGACCCCACTTTGAGTTGGCTTTATAAAATGTTCCCACACTTATCCACCTAAGTTCATACAAAGAAAAATCATATTTAGCTTTCTTAGTTTAGAAATGCTGCATACAGTATTTTCTGATGGTTAGAGAGCTGCCCATGAAACCACAGACATCCACCCAGCTGTAAATAGAATTCTGGGTAACTCAAAATATTTCCTCACTTTATTCTGGAAACCAGCTGTGGTCATGACAATCTCATTTCCCCAACGATTGATATAGCAGAGTTCCTGTGGAACAGCGGTGATGAAATGAACAATGCAATATTATTATCGTGATTCTTTTTTTTTTTTTTTTTTTTTAATGGACTTTGATTTACTGTATTTCAGATGCAGTAGTCTTTGAGAAGCTGAGTGATAGCATGGAGCAGGTCCGCAGCGACTTTGCCATGGAGACAGACACAGATGGCGGGGGAATGGTGGGCATCCAGTCAGCCAGAGGGCCTTCCGCTGCGCTCACGAACCCCCTCAACTTCTCCCTCAGAAACTTCGGTACAGAACTCAGGTGAGGCTGAACAAAAGCTTCCTGCGGCCTTGCAGGATGATATCATACCCACAGTTTTAAAAAAGGGATGTGAGTTTGTTTTGAGTCCTTGACAAACAGGCACAACGAGTTTGTGTGCCCCGTTAGAGCCGCATCGAGGAAAGAAAATGCCTCTTCAGTTCTTCCTGAGGTTCACTGCAGTAGAGGAAATGTTTACATCCATGGTTCACTAGTTGCTCTAGCACGCAGCCATCAACATTTCCCCTTTTGGGCCGTACAACGCATCTATTCAAATGACACTGAAATGCTAAAAATGTGACAGTTTGGAATTTGTTTTGTGATGGAAAAAGAGGTCACTTATAAAGGTGCGCAGGAATCTTGGAGCATGTGAGCTGCAATGCTACTCCTGCTCCTTATAGCATGTCTGTTAAAGTACTACGATGATTTATTCTCGTAATTTCAAATGCATAGAGTGTTTTAAGGTTGATCAGAGCAGAAGAAGCTGAAGCTCAGATATATGATGTTAAAAGATGCTTTGCGTCGCAGTTATGCTCATAAAGTGTGAGTGAATCCGTTACACGGCTTCTGTAGACAGTTTCAAAAGCGTGTTTTTCCATCACATGGACGTGAAGCGGCCGACTGAAAAAACGTGGCTGACACACATCCAGTGTATACGAGGTGTGAGGAAGGCCAGAGCTGCATTCTGCTGCAAACAAATAGTCATGTGGTTGCAGTGATCTCACGTTTAGAAGTGTGAAAAACCAGAGTCTGTGTGGGCTTATGGTCGACATGACCCTGTTAATTTTATAGTCAACAGTGCCTTCCACTTATATTTTTTTAGTATTAATGGTATTGTTTTAGACTTAATTTGTTTGTGGCTGTTTGTGCTAATGTTACCATTTAGTAGCAGAGCATCAGGCTTCCCTGCAGTTTGCCCTCGATCCCTGTGGTTACTTAATGTCCAGCATTAACACTGAAGCGCCTCACTCTTGGTCTTACTCACACTCCCGTCTGGTTTCTCTACTGTCAGGAACTCCATGTCTTATTTACGGCCGGGCAGAGGAGGCGAGAGCAGACGCAGTGTGTTTTATACTCACGGCAACAGCAGCAGCACAGAGGAGTGGGAGCTGGTGGATGCTCCACCCAAGGACTTCCCTGAACAGAAACCTCATCCAGACACACACAGACGTACGTCCACTCCCTGCTGCCTTATTCACCCCATGGCCAGAGTGTAATACTCTTACTCAGCTTACATTCCCCAGAGAAGAATTCTCCTTTATTGCACCACTCATTTGCTCAATACTATGACAAATGGACAAACATTCCTGGCTGCTGCAGCCCTCTGGGTTTCTTTTATTTCTTACTTACAGATTCCTTTGGGTCAGCGTTTACGTTCGACTTTGTGCGCAACTCAGCGCGGCCGAAGAGGCCTTTGCTTCGAGACATGATGGGTGCCGGGAAGTTTGGGCGTAACGCTGAGACACGCAGTGCCGAGAGTTCCCCGGTGGAGTGTAACGGCAGCAAACCTCTGGAGATGCAGCTTCGCCTCCAGAGCCAACAGGAAGAACTCAGCCGCATGCAGCAGGAACAGGCCAAACTCAGAGAAGAGCTGGCCAGTCAGAAGGTACAGTTACCTCACTCTCATTATGTCACTTGCTTTTTTGACATTCTAGCTTAATACAGAACGTCATGTTTGGTGCCTGAAAGCTCTCCTGTCCATCCAGTCTGTTAGGGCAAGGTCACACCAGAGCGAAAGTAGACGAGTAACCATCATTAATTTTGCTCGTGTGTGACGGTGCCCTACAAGCTTTTCCAAAATGGATGGGATGAGAACGAATGAGTGAGTGAGCATCAGATTATCGTTGTGTCTCCCAGTGAAGTTGTCCTGATGTGCTAATCATCAGCGAAGACATTAAGCCATTTGTCACTTGTCTGAAGAATCGCTTGCCCCGGCATTATTTTGGTAAAGCTTTGCACGCCTTCAACCTATTTTCAAAGCAACAGCAAGCCGTTACGTACACTGGCTCAGGGCTCAGTGGGCTCCCTGAATGTCGTTGTTGCCTGTAGTATGTCTGTACAGTTATTCACACTCAATCTGCCAGAGTTGGCTCATTCACTTTGCAAGGAAGAGGTGTAAGTCATCTTAGTCATTGGATTGTGTACAGATATAGTAATATCTTAAAATGAATGTCGCAACGACTCGACGGTTTTCACAGTTAAGTATGAAGCACCAGGAGTGACATCATAATGTATGAATTATCCTCATTAGGGGGAACACCAGGCTGACTGGAGGAATTTTACTATCATTTTAGTTAATTCAGCACAAGCCTCAGGGTTGCAGTGTCTGACTGAGCGGTTTGGTGTAATCACTAATACAGGAAGACAGCGAATGATTCGTCATGCTTAAGCAAGAAACAAGGAAACAGCAGTTCTCCTACCAACAATCGCAGCTGCGTTGTTCCTTCCCATTTCTCTCTGTTCTGGTTTTAGTGTTTTGAAACAAGAGCTGCAACATCAGCCAGATGAGCAACGTGTGTGTGTGTATGACTCCCATGAGAAGTGGTTTACTGCCAGCTTTAACTTTAACAAGAATTAACTGAGTAACTCTGAGTAACTGAGTCAGCTGGCAGCTCCGCATAACTGTTGTTGGAAACATTCGGTCACTCCTGGCACATTGTAGTGTTACTTGGTTTATAACCTCCAGGTAATGTTGGGCAGAGACTAAAATTTGGTTGTTACATGGCAAAGAAATCCTCAGACCTCTCTGGGGACACTGTGAAACATCTTTGCCTTCTTTAGAAAACAGTTGCCAGTGAAAACTGTATATTTGTTTGTGCGTCACAGATACTGTACGTGCATCTGTGCGACCAGATGTGGTTGTGTTTGAGTGAGTCCACGTGTCATACACACATCAGTGCAAATGTGTGAGCCATGTTTTTACACATTAGCCACACTATATACTTATAATGATATGATGGTAAAGTTTTGTTATTGAATTTCATGCCCTGTCATTACATGGAATTGGTAATGTGGGCGTAACGGTTGCTATGTTACATGTTGTTGCTTAGGTCAGTATGACTGCGGCCTCTGAGAGAACAGCTGGGTTTCTCCCAGGAAATTATTAAGCCAGTGTAGTTTTTGTTGGGGGGGGGGCGGTATTTTTCTCACAAAAGTGTTATTGTAAAATTATTATTATAGTTAGTACAGAAGTTAATTACTTAAGTTTGTGGAACCTACACTCTATTATTCACCTTACTGTAAGCTTGTTGCGCCTCTGCATCCAGCAGTGTTAAAGCTAGATTGTGGTACTTTTCCATGTAAATCAGCATCTGCTGCATTTAAGCCATCGCCAAATGAGTTCACACAGTGCTGATTAAGCCCATCGCCTACAGGGAAAGCTCTCTGTATTTCGCAGTGTACTAGGCATGCACGATAATATCTGCACATTATTGGTATGGGCCGATATTGGCTTTAAAATGAATCGGCCAACATGCTTTTTCCTTATTTTGCACAATGAATGAATATAACATACATTGAAAAGCATTGTATTTTCTGTCTCCATCTGCTGGTGGGTCATCAGGGTAAGAGTATGCATGCATAACATGATGTTAAATCCACAACAGAAGAGACTTGATGATCACAAAAATTAGGTGGGGGAAAAAGTGGATATATCGATATCGGTCATCAGCGAAATAAGTTGTAATATATTGGCATATTGGATATGAGCAAAAAATCCAATATCGTGCATCCCTACAGTATACTGGAGTTGCGGTGTGGTGCTTTTTGGGACTTCCATTCTTGCGCTCCGTAATTGATGCATTTATGTCAACCAGTCAAAGCTTAAGGGGGCAGGAAGGGACGAGAGACCATAGCAACAGATCAGCAGCTAGTATGTCATGCAATCCTAAGAACCCCACTAAGAAAAGTTTTAAAGAAACTTTGTGTTCAGATAAAGGATAAAGTCAAAATACTTGAACAGAAGGACTTGAAGAGAGCGCTCCTGGAGGCGGGGGAGATGTGGTGAGCACCTGCAGGCATTCATCACAAGCATGAGTAGAAGACAATGGATTACCTAATAGTTTTAGTTTGATCATGTATCATTTGTCGTTACTGTTCAAAATTGATTAACAGATCCCTGTGTGAAATTATTGAACTTCTCAATCAGGAAGAAAGCCTTTGAGGGGTTGAAGGGATTAGGGCAGAATGAATCAGTCTTTATTGTTCATTATCCTGTCCAGGGAGTTTTGTTGACATTTGTTGTCACTCAGATGTCTCGCTTAGCCACACCCCACTGTTTTTGGCTAGCCTCTGATGTAATACTATAAAAACCTTGTTCTGAATGTTGATCTTCAGAGAGAATCCACCCTTGACGGGAACTTACCCTCACTGCACTGGGAATAAAACTCATCTGAACCCGCCACAGAATTAGACCTGAAAGAATTCTTTTTTTAAACACAGGCGCCCACATTGTTAGTGTAAGATATGATGGTATGTAATTAAAATCCAGTCCATAGTAAATATGGTCAGCAGTTATGCAAGTGAAATCTCAGCAAACAGAAAATGCAACTGTTCCTGAAGAGTGCAGTTTTTGTTGTTGATATCTGATTTACATATTTATGTATTTGCCCCATGTTGAATCCAGCATATCAATGATTTCTGCGAACCAGGTGACTACATTTTAAGGCATGATCCTGACCCTGCTGATGATGTTTTATTAACCAAAATAAATCCTCTTTACTCAAGCAGGAGCTGGTGAGACTTCTGCAGCAGACTCTGAGAACCTCCCAGTGTGACAGGCCGCCACTACGCCGTCCACCTCCGACTCCAGATTCATCTGCTGCTTCAGACCAGACTCAAGGTTCGGCAGTAACACAGGAAGAGATCGCCAAGACGGAGACCCTGGTTCAGGAAAAGGATGGGCAGATCCAGTCCCTGTGTGGCCACATGGAGCGTCTCGCTCTAGAGAAGGAGAGTCTTCAACAAGAGCTGAAGGGCCTGAAGATAAAGGTGGGGGAGATTAATGACCAACTGGGGATGCTGATGGAGACCATCCAGGCAAAGGATGAAGTCATTATCAAGCTGTCGCAGCAGAGCTCCGAGCAGAGCGGCAATCCAATCAACGGTTCACCACCTCCCAACAAAGATCAGCATGAAGTGGACATCCTCAAGGTACAGGAGGGAACACTTACATTAGATGTGTGGTAGATGGGGATGATGCGGATTATTAGAACTGGAAGCATATAGAACTATTGAAATGATTTCAGGTTATAGAATAAATCTGTTCAGCTTCAGTTTATAACATTTTTTTCATCGGTTGATAATACTCTGGTTAAGTTTGTACTCTGATTAACTGAATACACATTTCTCCAATTTCAGGACAGTCTTCAAGGCTACAAATCCCAGAACAAGTTTCTGAACAAAGAGATCCTGGAGCTGACAGTGTTACGCAGAAATGCAGAGAGCAGAGAAAAGGCTTTAGAAGCAAAGGTACTATCTTGTGTGTGTCGGATAATGGTGCATTACTCTGTATATAGAAACAGGAAGTCTGAACAGCTTGTAGGGGAAGTCCAGCACTGACCTTAGCTGCTGCCCCCTACACCTAAAAATGCCAAGTAGGAACAATGAATAACAAACCATAATCTTGCTCCTGCCAGTTTTGATAACAAAGATACCAATGACATTTTTCTGTTATCTGTGCCGCAGTATACGGCCCTGGAGGCTAAGCTGTGTCAGGTGGAGAGTAAGTATCTGGTGCTTCTTCAAGAAGTGAAGACCCCGGTGTGTTCGTCTTCAGAGCAGAGCCCAGCCCGAGAGGTCATCTCCAGATTATTAGAGGATGCGCTACAGGCAGAGAGCTCCGACCACCAGGAGCACCCCATCTTTAAACCAAATACTGTCAGGTATGGACTGTGCCAAAAAGACTTTATGAATAGATGTTTTGATAGATGTTTTTTTAACGTTGAAAAGGACATGCTTACAGCTAAAGTACGCCTTTATGCAGACGATACAATGGTCTACTCAACTGTCTCATCTCGTCAAGCTGTTGATGAACTCCCGACTATCTTTGTGCAATTGCAGTCCTCATTGTTCTGTGTAAAATTGGCTCTTAATGCTAAGAAACCTAAATTTATGATCTTTTCTAGGGCTTGCTCCTAGGGCTTAGATAAGTTTGGCAGTAGCAAATTGGGAGGGGAACCAATTTAAAGAGTATTATCTTGCAAGTACTTTGGTATCTGGGTGGATGAAGGGCATGCTTTTAGAGTGCATTTTGAGAACCTATTTAAGAAACTGAAGGTGAGGGTGAGTTTTTATTATCAAAGTAGGGCTTGCTTTAACTTAGCAGCTAGGCCAGGGGTAGGCCACCTGCAGCTCTGGTGCCGCAAGTGGCTCTTTAGATTCCTCCAGTGGCTCCCTGTGACTTTATTGCTTTCTTCAGTTGTAAAAATGTGTAGCTTATGCATAGAATTAAAAAATGTTTTAACAACTTCCGCTAAATTTTGCTGAGTTTTGGTAGCAGTGTCAAACTTGGAGTCTCTCTAGCAAGGCTAGCTATAGATTCCAAATCCAAAAAAGGAAAAGTCTTTGAGAAAAATAGAGGATTTGTTAGTGTGTGAACACATTAATTTGCTATTAATGATATTAATAAATGCTTTTTTTTTTAAATAGTAAAGGTTGCCGACCCCTGAGTAACGCTTGTGCAAGCCACGTCCTTAAGTGCACTACACTATGGGGACATTAATTACATGCATGTCGCCTCCTCCACACTTAGATGCCTTGACTCTGCGTGTCACACTTCTCTGCATTTTATTTTCAGCTCATCACACATCACTGTGTACTTCACGATCTGGTTTTCTGGCCCTCATTTAGCCGCAGGAGACACCAGCGCTGGTACATTTATATTTACAAAGCCATACTAGGTAAACTCCGGCTACATCTATGTAAACTCATGTCACTCACCACCACTTGTTATGGTTTTCGCTCCTTTAGAAGGCAGCTCGACCAGATATCCAGGATTTACTCAGAACTCAGAACAGCTTCGTCCTGTTTTGCATCCTGGTCATACAGTAACCCTCAGAACATACAACAACTTCATGATTATGTCTCTCTGAGAGAGATCAAAGCTCTGAAAAAAATTGTGTAACCGAAGGGTGCAGTTGCTGCTCCCAAACTGGATTTTGTATTACATATTTGCTGACCCTGACTGTTTCGAACATGCTTTGTTTTTCACGTGCTGGAATTTTTAATTTTCTTGGCCAGGTCTCCCTCAAAAAAGAGATTTTAATCTCAAGGGACTTCCTGGTTAAACAAAGGTTAAACAAAAATATATAAGATAAAAAATTCTCTATAATTCTTGTAATTTAAACTAATTTATCAAAAAAATATTACAGCATAAACAGTGAAATGTAGATGATGTCACACTGTAGCTAAACAGAAAACAAAGTCTCAGTGCTTTCAGATTCATTTTTACCCAAACCTAACAACAAGTCAAGGACAGCTCCACATCAGGAGAGAAAGAGACACTGGTCTTGCCCCAGTAGCCTTAATAAACCCAAATGCGATGTAGCCACCAGATCTTTTTCCATTTTTCTTGACTGGAAAAACTCGCTCTGCTAATTGGTATTTCGTTTGCTATTGCTGTTGCTTTGACATCTGTGCAAGCTCAGGCTGGTTCCTGAGGGCTTGTCAAAATGTATTGTTAGAAACTCAGGTAATCCTTAAATGATGAAGCACTGAAGGCAGGTTAAGCAAAACAGGGTCCCCCTAAAAGAAGCAGTAATGTCACTGACTGATAATTTTTCTCCATTTTCTCTCTTCCTTGATTGAACATCAGTGAATACGACACGTTTGGCTTCAAGACGGTCCCTGAGGAGGAGGAAGAAGAGGAGAGGCTAGTTGCAAAGGTGAGAGCTCTGGAGCTGAAGTCCCTATCCATGACAGATCAGGAAGTGTCCATCGGGGTGAAGTGGGAGAACTACCTAGCCAGTACCATGAACAGAGACCTGGTGCGCTCCCCTGAACTCAAGGCGCTGTTTCGCTGCGGCGTGCCCCATGAGCACCGCTCCCAGGTGTGGCGCTGGTGTGTGTCCTTCCATGTCAAGAAGTTGCGAGACCATCTGGCGCCCGACTACTATGAGACCTTACTTAACGTTGCCCGGGACAAGCCTAACCCAGCCTCGAAGCAGATCGAGCTGGACTTGCTGCGCACTTTGCCCAACAACAAGCACTATTCCTCTCCGAGTGCGCCTGGCATCCAGAAACTCAGGAACGTCCTGATGGCTTTCTCCTGGAGGAATCCAGATATCGGCTACTGCCAGGGACTAAACAGGTACGGGAGGGATTCTGGTTTCTCTCCTTCTCGCCTTTTATGCCTTGTAACTATTAATTTTTACTGCATGTAATTTCTTCAGGCTGGCAGCTATTGCCTTGCTTTATCTGGACCAAGAGGACGCCTTCTGGAGCCTAATAGCTATCGTGGAGGTCTTCATGCCAAGAGACTATTACACCAAGACTCTGCTTGGCTCACAGGTAAACAAGCTCAAAGTTTATGTTCTAACAATGGAAGACTCATGTTTACAGGTTTTTCTGGTGTCAGTGATGTCATATTCATGTAACTGTGTGTATCATGACTGATAATGGAAAGAATGCAGCACTGTTTGTTTTCTCTTTCTGTCTGTTAGCATCAAAGAATATAAATGTGTGTTGGTTGTGTCTGTGCAGGTTGACCAGCGTGTGTTCAGGGACCTGATGAGTGAGAAGCTCCCCCGGCTTCACGCCCACTTTGAGCAGTACAAGGTGGACTTCTCCCTCATCACCTTCAACTGGTTCCTGGTGGTGTTTGTGGACAGTGTGGTGAGCGACATCCTCTTCAAGATCTGGGACGCCTTCCTGTATGAAGGTCCAAAGGTGAGAGGTTGACAAGGAAATAAAATTGTAATCCTCTAACATCACACAGCTTGCAGTTTGGACATGCAGACAGGGTTGGAGGGACCTTTGAAAATTGTGTTGTAGACACTCAGCTGAGTTTAAATTTGCCTTTCTCTACAGAATGTCAGACTATATGTTGGATTAGTTTTGTATTTAGCTGTAAACAAGTTCCTACAAGTGCCAGTTCTTTTGGTTTCACATTCTAACCCACTGTGTCTTATCTAACCAGGTATCATGTCTCCAGACCTCTTTTACCCTGCCAATGGTTATCACTGAACAAAGTTAGGCTTAACTATTTATTAAGTTTTATTAATAATGGATCAAATGTCTGTTTGTTATGTGGTAGTGATGAATCCACATGACATTTTCATCCAACTGCAGTTCTGCTTCACATCTACAGGAGCTTTTTAGCCCGTTTTAGCTTGTTGTTATGGTTGCCAAATAGCCAATTGTTTGCTTACTTTTAAGCGATAACCTCAATTGCAAAAAACATTTATTTAATGTACCTTTAAAGGTTCAGTAGATAACTTTTATAAGAAATAACGTAATGTGATATTTGCTGAAACTGTCACTTTATCCTGACAGTGCACAAGACAGATAATATGTGAAAAAAAATCATCTCTCTCTGGCTCCTCCTAATGCTGCTAACGGCATTTACAAGAATCTATCACACCTGAACAAAAACAACCAGTCTGAGCCAGGAGGAGTCTCTACAGGAAATCAGAAGATAGCTTGTGAAAGTGAAAACTTGCTTTTTGTTGTTGGCATTTTGTTCACTTGTGCTTGACTGAGTGAGTGTGTGCAGGGTAGAGGGGCTGCGCAGTGTGTGCACGAGCAGTGATTGACACTGTGTTAGAGACTCCACCTGGCTCTGATGGGTCATTTTCCTACAGGTGTGGTGGATTCTTGCAAATACCATTAGGAGCACTACGAGGAGGCAGAGGAACATGATTTTTTTTTTTTTTTTTTTTTTTTCAAATATTTTCTGCCTCATGCACTAATGTCAGGAAATAGTGACAGTTCCACCAAATACGACAAAAATGCATATTTTTTAGCAACAGTTTTACATAATGCGAATTCACAACATTAATCAAATTTAAATCATATATATGATGAGGAACAAAGCATGAAATCCAATGACAATCATCCCCATTCCACTAACCCCAAATAACAGCCGCAATATCGTCAATAAGACGGTTCTCCATCTCCTGAAGAACACAGACAGAAATGGCAGATGAGGTGTAAGTCAGGCCTAATAATAAAAGAGGGAAATAATAAAAGAGGGAAAATATATGTAAATAAATGTTATCTACTATAGCTTTAATCCTGCAGTACCTGATTTTGCCCACTTGATGGCGGCATAAAAAAATTGTGTACACTGACACTTTATTATTTATCACCTTTTGAATTTGTTATTGTGAACTTGTCAGCACAGTTTGCTATTTACGCACCCAGCAGACACAAAGTAGTTAGCTTTCATTTTTAGTCGTGTTTGTAATGAAGTCCAGTTTTTAATCTCAGTTTTGTTTTGTTTTTTGGTGTCCACTATCTCCTGAGGGAAACATGTGGCTTTTTAGCTCTTAAATGCTGCTGTGTTCACCAGTTAGTCACTGACTATGTCTGTCTGCTGTTTTGTTGCTGAGCTTGGGGTGTACACTGAGTTTTTGGAGAATTTTCATGGAAAATAGCCGCCTGCTGAGGCTGTAAACAACACAAGGAGAGAAACATTAAAGTTGCTAAAACAGTGAGTTAAAAGACACTATAAAGTTCTGCAGAGCCGAACAGAGCTGCTTAGTAGGGGTATTATTTTCTGTGGGTTTATTACATCATTTTATGTGGAAATATTGATTGTAGCCACTCTATTTAGAACCTAGGTAGCACTCTGTGGTTTGAATCACAGTTTTATTCAGCTGTTAACTCAATAAATGAAAACCTTTGCCTCATAACAAGACAGTAAGGACGGTACTGTGTGTCCAGACATTCCTCTAAAGGAAATATATACCCATTCAGTCGTCTGAAGTGTCTTTGCATGTCAAAGGGATGGTGTTGATACTACTGGAGATAGTCACTGATGTAAAGTCATGAGATAGATTTCACGGCTTTGATCATTTTTCTCCACAGATCATATTTCGCTTCGCCCTGGCTCTCTTCAAGTACAAAGAGGAGGAGTTTCTGAAGTTGCAGGATTCCACAGCCATCTTCAAATATCTTAGATACTTCACGCGCACAATCCTTGATTCAAGGTAAAGTAACTGCAAAGTTATTTCTGAGGACAGTGTGTCTGAAGGATAATAAGGAGTGAGATTATTAACCATGTAATAGCTTATCATATCTCCTGACTGCGTGCCTGCTGACAAGCAAGCAGGTTATCTACAGGTTGTGATTGCAATAAGGATTAAAGGTAATCAGAACTGTAGGTTTGGCTCGTTCACTGATCATAATAGTCATAGTAGTACAAAGATGACCAAATATATAAACCAGGAACAACAGGATGTCGGCTCTTCGCAGCACAGAGCATGCACAACAATTGAAACCCATCCCAGACTGACAGGACTGTGTCTTTTTCTTTTTTCCAGGAAGCTGATGAACATCGCTTTTGTGGACATGAACCCGTTCCCCATGCGACTAATCCAGAACCGCCGCTCCTTCCACTTGGAGAAAGTCCGTCTCGAGCTGACTGAGCTGGAGGCGATCAGACAGACCTTCCTCAGGGAGCGAGAGACGAGTCAGGACGGTCGGAGCTTCGTCAGTGATGACGAGGAGGACAACTGACCTTGAGCTTGTCGCTGAATTATGAAGACAAAGAGATCATCTCCAGATGCCAGAGACGTGTTGCAGCTGTAAAGGGATTTTTCCTAAAGGATTGTTGGGAGGTGGTCTCCGAATCAGAGCTGGACCAATCAACTCTTATAAATTTCAAGTGAAATCGCATCAAAAGACAAAAGTGTTACAGGCCAAACGGCTTTTTCTATCAGTATTCCTGCCATTTTATTTTGTACACGCTTTGTTTGTTGTATGCTTGTGTGTTTACGTGACAGCCAAAACAGTACGCCTTATCCACGACTCTTCAACCTTCAATGCCAAGCTTCAGTCTTGCAGTCCGAATCAGTATTTTTACAAACATGGCTGTGATCTTTTAATAGTTGGTGATTTTATGCCTGTTGAAGGAATGATTGTATTTTTTTTTTTTACCTCTGTTTTTATTTTCGCACTCTCTGCCCTCAGCCCCTTTCATACGTCTTAAAATTGTTTACCTAAATCTAGTTATTTTTCCAAACTACCACGCATCAACACATCTTTTGATGCACTTGAATCACTTATGCTGAAATTCAGATTTTGCTGAAACTCCAAGCGGTCCAAGGGGTGTTTAAGAATACACACAAAGACGATTTAAAGAGTCCCATGTATTATCAGTTGCATAAACAGCATGTGGAATATTTTGGAGAAGACTGTATTTCTTTAATATCTCAGGATTCAGATCAAATAACTAGAGACGCAACAATTAAGCCACCAAGCTAAAGGTGTCAGTCAGTGTTGTCTTTTTAAGTAATATTGGTCCGTCCAGTTTATCTGTCCATATTTGGGAGACTATTTTTTTCTTTGGGTATCAGTCTTAATATGATATTTTAAACTTAAAAGAATACTATGCAGGATTTTCCTTTGCAAAATCCCTCTCAGTCATCACTTATGACCCACTAGTATTTTATTATTAGTCTGCCTGTATTTTCTTATTTTCCATGTGAGGATGTTTATTGACGTGCACCCCCACGTGAGGTTGAGGCTTTTTAACAAGGTAGCATTCAGGTGGCAGACTGTAAGCAGCAGATATCCAAGAGACAAAGCGGCGAAACACCAGATGAGAGTGAATCTGGGGTTGGACAATCCTGCATAGTATATCTTCATGTACCACTTAATTATGAAATTTTCCCAAATACATTTCTGAGACATTCAAACTGTTCTGCACCTTCATTTGTGCCGAAGAAAAAATGTGTAACAACCACTGTATTTGGTCAGGAGAATATCAATTCCAAAAACATCCTGATTGTCTGACTATTTTACTATTCCTATTGTTAAGATTAATTTGCCTTGTTTTGGTAGTGTTCATGATTTTAGTTGGGGTTGTAAGGGTCTTAATTTCCCCTGGTTAAAACCAGTACATGCATAATGCTGGGATATTCTTCTGAGCCCTGTCTGTTGATGTAGTTACACTCATTGTCCACAGTGTGGCAGTATAACATTTGTTTACCCAGTGTGTTTACACCAATTCAAAGGTAACCTCCCACAGTATGATTTAGAGTTTATTATACTGTGTGTATAAAATGGCTGGGAAGTCAATCTGTCAACATGATCGCTGTGCAAAAATGGAAATATGATTTGTGATCTATGAGGGAAGTGTTTCAGAAGATTTATAGACATGTAGCAACATATTTGTCATTCACATCCAGGTACTTACAGAAAACAGTTTACTTGTATAGCACCGTGACCATATTCTCTACGATACTTGTTTTACATACCAGAATAAAAAGTTGATATACTTGCTCATAAAATAAACCATTTTTATATTTGGTTAATTAACAGTATACAACTGTTTGAATGGGAATCCACAAGAGAGGAGGAAGATTTTCTCACTTTGCCCCTTCTCTTGTGTGCTGATATATTGTTTACACTTTGTTATAACTTTTAATTTCCTTTGTTTTTACTTCACTCTGAGCTGTTGGTAGAAATTTCTTTGCTGTTAGTTATCTTTTCTCTGCTCTAGTATTGTCAGCTACAACACCATGCCGAACTTTTTTGTGGGATCACCTGAAGTTGTGAGCAAACCGCTGAATTGTGGTTGTTTTGTTGATGGAAATGTGAATGAAAAAAGTAGAGGTGGAAAGTTTTTCCTCATGAGAGCAGGTCTCTCTTGAGATCAAAACGTTCAACTTTGATCGATTTGAGATAAAAAGTTTTAGGTCCATTCATTTTGTCAGAGGGCTCATACAGAAGGTTTCAATATTCACTCATGTTTCAATACACAGCTTTTGTTCTAAGGCTTGTTCTCGTGCTTTTTGTATGTTTTCTGTCAGTTTAGTTTTCACATGGAATAAGCTACATTTAATGTTATGCTGTCTTTGCTTTCTCTTCCTCTCCCAGCAATGTATTGCACAAGTGTATGACTTCAAATTATCATCGGGCACTTCTCTTTTTTTGTATGTAAATCACTATATTGTTAATCTTTATCATTTAATGATGAAAAATGCAAAGCTTTTATGTTACAGAATTAAGTATGCACCACTGTATGTTTTTGTAATACCAGTTAAAAGACAAATTCAATAAACAATGGCTGACTGATTGTCATCACTCTTCTGTGCAGGTGTTCATGAAAAGTTAAAAAAAAAACAAAAAAAAAAAAACAAAATGGCTGTAGTAATCCTCAGTTCCTAAAACGCTTGCTCAGAATAAACAGTCGTGTCTGTCATCTTTATTGATAGCCTGCCTCTCTCATGTATGCAGTTTCATAATAGAGCCATGAGGGGGAGGGACTTGTGCAGACACAAAAGCCTGATGGTGCAGCCACTAGTGACAGAAAACAACAGAGAGGCTAAAGGAGCAGTTTTGTGCCAGAAGTGCAGGCATGAGGAGAACAGACCGGGTGTAGGAGACCTGGGAACTGATGCAAGTTTATCGTCAACTCTGCGTTTGACAGAAGGTAAGACATACGGTTTGGTTTCAGTCAGTTTGTGGAGCCACTTGAAGTGAGACATGAAACTCAGATAGGAAGTCTGTAGTATTTCAGGGGATTTTTTTGTGTTCACATTTTTGTATGTGCGTAAATATTCACTCTTACAGTGTATTATTAATCACTGTTCTCTCTTATGTTTCTGTTAAATTGAAATTCATAGCAGTAAATGTTATTTTTAATCCTTAGAAAGCATATGTTGCAGCTGTCAGCCTGTTTGTCAGACAAAATGTTTCAAAACAGGAGCAAATTTCACATATCCTGCCCCAATTACCCCAAAAGCTCATTTTTAATCCCCTTACAATCACAACTTAACGCTGTTATTCTGCCCAGCTTGGCACCGTTCTGTGAGTTGCACTTGTTAAAGTTTAAAGCCAATAATCTGTACTTAGACAATTGAAAGACAGACTAAGTGTACTTTTTTGTAATTTCATTTGGATGTCAGCTAGCATTCAGGCTTTCTCAACAGGCAGGTGAAAGTAGGTAAAGCTCTGAGATGGAATGCTTTACAGCAAGTTGTAACGTGAACATTTTCATCACTGCTGTCAGAAATCTTGAGGAACACCTCTTTGTATCAGCAGGGTTGGACTCGTGGAGAAAGGGAAGAAGAGCACTGGATAGACGGGCTTAAGTGGTGCACATCAAAGAGACAAACTACATCAATGAAGACACCCGGCATGGCGGTGTTCAAGCAACAGAATGTGGATGATTTCTATGAAATTGGAGAAGAGCTGGGAAGGTGAGTATTTCTCAAAGGTGAACAGTAGGAGATGTTTCATTCCACTCCTTGGGAAATGATCCTCCTCACTTTGTGTGAGTCAGTGTGTGATTCAGCTCGCCCCTGCATGCCTTTTGACACAGTGGTCCTCATGTGTACGTATGCAAACAGCTGGTCCTGTTAAAGCTTGAAATGGGGAGTGTCGCTGTGTTGAAGTAGGTTGAAGTTTACAGTGAGAGATAAAGTTTGAAGAGTAAACACACTCAGAGAAAACAAGCTCTGTTTGGACATGATGTGTCCAACCCAGGAAAGAGAATAAAATGTATTTTGTAAGAGCTGCTACTGGGTGGTGGATCAATGTGTTGAAGCTGATTAGCGAGGCCAAATGTCGAGGAAACTGTGTCCCATGGGGAAATAGGTTAAAGGAAGTTTGTAGGGTGCAGTGTGGATTGAGGAAGCTACTAATCCACTCTGCACGGAAGGACAGCCTTGGCTTGTGAACCACTCGCTAACAGATTGACAGGGTGTGAAAGTTACGTGTCTGACCTCTAAACTTTCACTACTCATCAAAATGGACAGTAAGTCCTCATTTTTGCGGGTCATTTACTGAACAGTTGCTCTGACACACCCTGACAGCACACACCAAGACCTGCTGTGGGTGCTTCAGCTGCATTTACAGGTCTGTGGAGGAGGAGTTTTGTGTCCAACATTCACACTTTCGTTGATATCTTATTATTAATATCATAGAATAATTAAATGAATCTGCAAATGAAAAAAAATAATCTTACTGGGATAATAAGGCAATTTGCTCAAATATTAAAGGATGGCATCTCCAAATAAGGTACTCCTCTTTATAAATTGCAACTAATGCTTTATTAATAGCTAATGAATCATTTATTAATGCTTTATAGATCAATTATAGGTCATTATTATAGGTCATTTTCTTACACTGTGGGAAAGCGCTGCTGAATGCAACATGTATAACCTTTATCTATTGGTGTCTTTGTCTTAAAGTCTTTTTTAATGAGTTATCACAATTTATGATTGCAGATTGTTTTCCATTGTAGGTGCTCTTCTGATTAATTAAAGGATTACTATACTTGTAAAATGATAATTTGTAAATCAATTACTCACCCCGTGTTATGTTGAATTCACAAAGATAACTGTTTTATTCTCATACCTTTATGGTGAACGAAGAATCCAAAAACTGAGAAAATTCTTAATGAACTGAAGTAAAAGAGGGGCAGCGTTTAACAACAACAAAATTATATAAAACATCTTTTTACAAACTCTTACACAACTTGTGCAGTTTAATCCAAGTCTCATTTATCCAGTCATATGCTCAGTACTTTCCAAACACATGCATTTTTGCTAAAACCTTATGATTAAAAACACTTCACGAACAAGTAGTGCCCCTTATTATGTTGTGTACGAATAAAATAATTCACCTGAGTTAATTTTGTGTAAAGTCCATGTAACAACGCGATTAGACATGAATTCCCATCAGGCACCGCAATGGACCTGATGCTAAATATGGAAATTAAGTGATGCAAGTTAAGCGGACAGTGCTGTTTCATGTCATATGCGTATTCGTGAGAGCTGAAAAATCTGAACTTTAACGACCAATTTGCACCGTGATAGCTAATCAGCATTGAGATCCTCCAGGGATGTATGACACCAAGGACATGGGGGTGTCAGTTCATTCATCAGTTCAACGATTTCACAAGCGTATGATGTTGAAGTTATTCATGCGTATGAAGTGAGTCAATGCAAAATATTCTAGTGTTCAAACTTGTGTGAGTGATGCAACGCGAAAATTTGCTCGCGTTTGCTGTGAATAGCACATTACGCACTTGCATTATAACTCTGCTTGTGCACTCTACTGAGCAGAGTTCTAATGCAAACACGTTTTTAAATACTACGGTTTTAGCAAACATGCATGTTTTTGGTAAGTACTGAACATACGACTGGATAAATGAGACTTAGATTATACTGCACAAGTTGTGTAAGAGTTAGTAACAGATGTTTTGCTTTTATAAAACACGGCTGCCCCTTTATTTCAATTCATCAAGAATTTTCTCTATTTTTGGATTCTTCACTGTGGAGGTGTGTGAGAAACACAAAGTCTTTGTCATGAATTCAACATAACACTGGGTGAGTAATCAATGTACAAATAGTCATTGTGTTGGAGAGCTAACAGGAAAAATAAAGTGTCATACTGGCCAAAAGAGTGCCTCGTTGGAGAGTGTTGCCAGTAAGTTAAAGTAGAAATGTGTTATTTAAAGAGTGACAATATCACTGAGTTGTGGTTGAGCTGAAAACATGTTAGTTGATAAGACGACTCTGCTGTGAGCTGAGCTTTGAATGTGTTCAGCACTGCTGTCATGGAAAACAGAAAGCTAATGTGGTTAAAAGCCACAGATGCCTGCAACTGAAAACAAGAAACATTTTTTTGTTCAGTTGCTAAATGTGTCTGAGAATTTTATCACCAATTCAGCAGCTGGGTGTCTTTGGTTGAACTTCTTCTAAGTTATTGTGACAACTCTGTAGTGAGGTTTGGGGGATACAGCCCACCCTGCCCACAATTTGTAACAGCCTCATGGGTACAGACATCACCACCACACAATGGAACTGTTACTCAGTTGTCCTCTTGAGAGGGTGGGGAAATTTGAAGTGGGGGGCCAAAAACTGTTTGTGTGGAATTTTTAAGATGTTCTGTACTCTGTGGAACTGTTGAGCCATTTGCTTTGGGAAAGTCAATTCATCATACTGTCCCCCCTATTGACAGATTTTAATGTCATGGGGCCCCACGCACTTGTACTCAATGTTTCTTTCCATATCTGACGTGAGTTTTCTGTAAACCAATATGTAAAATAACACTTTGGTTGAGATGTGGGGCATTTACTGACCTGCATTACCATCTAAGTGATGACACTGATGATGCTATGCAGCTGCCACCGGCCCTCCCACCACACTGGTGAGAATTTAGTGAGCTGTTATACAAGTGACAGTCGAGGCAGATAGTGCACTATATGAGCTCTACCTGTCAACGGCAGGTCCAATCTTGTCCATGTTTGGTCATAATATCAAATAACTTATAACTTTAACGATACTGCGGTGGCCATAAATGAAAAAATATCTCTGTTAGTCATCATCAAGCAACGACAAACATTCACAGGATGCACGGTTGGATAGGAAGTGCTATTGTCTGTGCATGCCTGTACAAAGATAAATAGCTTGTAAACTTCCTCCTGATTTTGAAAACCGTAAATATCGCCCTCACATCAAAGTGGAGTTTGTGTTTTGTGATTTTAACCCCACTATTGGTGGCATAGCGCTAAAGATAGCAGTGTCGGTCCATATGTCAGTCTGCCATTTGGTCCAGACTGAAACATCTTGACTATTGGATTTCAGTTTTTCCCAGAATCTATGTTTGCCGATATGTTTTTCGCTTGCCTGTGTCCTTATGTATCAGTCTGTGTCCTCTCCCTAAATTCATAAGTTTTTATGGGTCCGTAAACGCAGCGCAGGCAGAACTCTCCATAAGTTAATGCTTTTCCTCTGCAGCAGTTTGAGTTTGAGTCGCAGGATCAGATCAATAGATGAGAGGTGCAGCTGCTTATAGACCAAAATAAACAAATAAATACAAATAAATTAATGTGTAGGAAACCCTGAAATGTATACAGACCATGGATGTGTTAAGATACCTGGATACAGCATTGAAGGCGGGACCCCGTTCATTCCTATGAAAGCTCCTCAGTGGTGCATAAAGCCAAAAAAAGCTCTATTTTGGCAGTATGTTATTACCTGGATGATCAACGCTGCTTCCGCATCATTGGGTCCATAGAGCAAGCATACTAGAGACTTCTGCCAGACGAGCCAGCTATGTTTTAGCGCTCC